TTTTTTTTTTTTTTTTTTTAGAGAGAGAGAGAGAGAATCTTAAGCAGGTTCCACACTCAGTGCGGATCCTATGACCCTGGGATCATGACCTGAGCCAAAAACAATTCAGTTGCTTAACCGACTGAGCCACCCAGGTGCCTCAACCGCTTGTCTCTTTATCCACAGTCCAGGGTGGGCTGGGAGGAGTTATTTGGAATGTTGACCCAGCTTAAGTGTGGGTTAAAGCTTCTTCCCTAGATGAAAAGGGCATTTTAGCCTTCCCCCCACCCCCGCCCCGCCTTCCCTTAACACACTACAGTGGAGAGAAGGAGGAGACAGACAATTCTTTGCTTATAGATACAGAGTGTATTTCAGTGGCGTTCTGCCCCACCTGCACATTAATGAAAATGACAGCAGTCTTCTTCAAGGGGTGCAGATGTTGGGGAGCCTACAAAGTCTTGATTGTTTTGGGTCTTCTTGAGCAGACCAACGTTTCCCTCTGAGGTGAGAGTTGAGACCTAGGGCAAGTTCCCTGGTTGGGTAGCAAAAGCCACTCTAGGACAGTGCCGAGGGCAGTGGCGGGGGTGGCCCAGGACTGAGGCAGAGTGGAGTTGCTGGGAGTGGGAGCGGTGCCGGAGTTTACTGTCTGGGGAATGGAGACCATCCAAGAAGGCTAGGCACACCTGCTTCTCAGTGGGGGAAGATTGGGCCTTGGAGTCCCCTCCTGTTTTCTCTGTCTTGGTTCGCCCTGTGGGACTTTTGGCTGGAGCCAGGCTCTTTTCTACATTTTCTCTTCTGGTATTTGCCGCCTTCGCAGCTGTAGAGAACATGGATTCCTCATGCCCTTTGCCTTTTGTCTTGGTGTTAAAACAGTGCAGAAAGGATTTCATCTTACTTCTCAAGCCAGATTCTGTAAGGCTGGGCCTCTTATTAGTATGGACTGGCATCACCTGCCGCTGCAAAACTTGACCTTTCAAAGTTTGTCCCTGAAAAGGCTTGCCCTGAATGAGTTGGCCCAGGATAGACTGGCTCTTTGATGCCTGGGGCACCATAGGCTGGGCATTCTTAGAAATCATTGCTGGTTTGAGAAGGACATTGAGCTTGGTTTGACTGTCCTGCAGGTCATTCTTCTTAGATTCCTTCCTCCTGGGGATTCTTGGAGGTGGCTCTGGAAGCTTAATCTGAGGGTGCTGGGTACTATGTTCACAGAAAGCATCAAGATGAAAGCTATGGCTTCGTAGCCAGGGACTGCATGGTGTCCTGTTCGTCCCTTCTGGCCTCTGGGCTGCATCAGGGTGGCTTATTTCTCTTGTAGAGCAGTGCGCAAGCCCGGCATCCCCTTCTCCATGGTCCCCTGCCAATTTGTGTTTCCCTGGGTCCTTTCTCTTTTCTGCCAGCATGGGAACTTGGGCTGAGTCTTTGCTCTTGCTGGGGCTTTGGGGCTCAGGGCTCCAGGGTTCCTCCAGGCTGGGGCTGTTCACACTGCCCTCAAGCTGAACACAAAGTACCTGGGCCTCTGTCATGTCGCCACTGGGTTGTGAGATCTTAGAGGCCCAGTGGGCAGAACCATGGGGTACTGCTCTGGAACTAGGTTGCTTCTGGTTCTGCTGCACTGCCTTTAACTCAATGGCCAGCTGTTCTTTAAGGTGGAGCCATTCTGGATCTGGGGCACGAGGAACATCTGGTGGGGTGCGGAGATCCTGGAGCAATGTTTTCCCTTGGTTGTTCAGATTCCCTGGAGACTCCTGTGTGGTTGTGTTCTCTGGGATTGCTATAGTTTGTTCTCTGGACTTCCTTGCCTTTATGGGAATTCCCAGTTGTATCTCTAGGATCTTCTTTCTTAGATGGAAATTTAATTTGGCCAAGATGGGTTTCTTGAGTGTGTAGGGCCCAGAAGTCTCTGTCTGGCTTTCTAGATGCACTGTCTCAATCATTCCTTCTACCCGCTTTTCAGCCTGGAACTCATCTGCAGTGTTTGCACAGGTGTTGTTGGCATCTTGAAAGCATGGCCCAAGACTCAGACATTTCTCTTCAGATGAGATCATCTGAGTCAGAGGTTCAGTTGGGAATTTTCCAGATCCAGGCACCATTCCTGTGATCACATCTTGGGTAGTGATTGCTGGTCCCATGGCCCTAGAAAGAGCCACATAATAAAGAGCAGGCAGCCCTGACAAGAAGGCCAGATACTTGTGCCGCAAAGTTGTCTCCAGTTTCTCAATGGCTCCCTCAGACAGGGCTTGGGGCAGCTTAGGGTGTTCAGTGACAGCATCTCGTGAGGCTTGTTGCCGTTGGTCAAGGGCCATTGGCATCCAGGGTATAGCTTTCTCTTGTGGGGCAGGGTCAGTTGCTGCCTGCAGCTCCAAGGGCTTGCTTTCTGGGATGCAGGTTAAGGGAGCCACTTGCAGGTCCCCAGGAATTATGTACTGCCAAGAGCTGTATACACAAGCAGGGACCTTGCCCTGGTGGATCTGCCCACATTTGGAGTTGATGTGGCTCTGTAATATTGCCTTGGCCTGGTCAAAAAAGTGTGGCATGGGGACTGACACTGGGTCTGTGAAGGGTGAGAATGGGTCACCGGCCCCAGTGGTTTCTAGGGCTGTAGGTTGGGGAGCACTCATGTTGGCTAGGGCTGTGCTACTCCAGGACAGAGTTGACTGATCAGTGGGGGACAGGAGCAACTGGATGGACTCCTGGATCTTTTGGGGCAGGCCCCAACGATGGTGAATCAGCTGCCTCTGGAGATGGAATTCCAGCAGCCTCCGGGCATGTTCCGGAAAGAAGAGTAGTTTCCTAGTGAGGACTGTGATGGGCTTCACTGGCCAAAAACTTTTCACTGTCTCTGGAGACTGGGCTTTGCCACAGGGCCTATACTGTATGGGGCTCTGGCTGTGCTGAGGTCTCTGGAAAACCGCTGGCAAGCCCCACTGAAGCTGGAGCTGCTTCTGCAGCAGGTGCCACTCCAAGGCATCACACTCAGCCAGCGTCAATAATGGAACACTGATCTGAGCTTGTTGGTAATCAGATGGAGTGACCCAATTTGGGGAAGATGGGGAAGAGGGTGGGACTGATTGGGGTACAGTTTTAGGCAGCAGGGGGAGGACAGAGAGTTCCTTGAAGAGAAGAGCATCCTTCAGGGGGTGCTGGGATATGCTGCCATTTGTGGAGCAGTTTTGAGAACCTATTAATGTGTTGACCAGGGACTCACTGTGCAGAGAGGGGTGGCCACAGAATAGCTGGCTGTATTTCTGCTGCAGATGGGCCACTGAGTCATGAGCCTGGTGCCCAGGATGTGGATAGAGACGATGTGATTCTTTAAGGGCTGGAGACAGCAAAGCCAGAGCCATATGGTTTGGGATTTGCTGGTGGTGGTGTCTTTGTTCTGGGTCCATAGTGGACCATTCAGAAACCCAGAAGGCCTGGGTAGGCTGGCTGCCCATAAATGGACCCCAGTTCTGGTAGGAATAGGTCCCCAGTTTTTCAACAGAGAACTTAGAAGTATCATTTGGGATGAAAGAAGCTGGTTGGTCATTTACACGTTGGCAAAAGAATGGCGGGTTTGGCATAAGCTGCCTTAGGGACTCCTCCACACGTCTGGGAAGCCCCCATCTCTGGAAATGCATCCATTTTTTCACATGTACCTCAAGAAGCCTCAGGACTTCAGGACTGAGGAATGGCAGGTTGGCAGGGAGGACAGTAACCATATGTAAGGCCATAGGGTGTGTCTGGGTAGTGAATTCGTGGTTTAGGGTGTGCAGAGTGACCTGGGAATTCAAGGGCTGCTGCCCTTGGTTCCCATAGACATGGTTGGGGGTGCTCTGCATCATCTCCTGCTGGTTCACTGTTAACCTAGCCTCCTCAAGTCTTGAGCAAGACATAGTCTCTTGGCCCCTGGGCACCTCAGTTATTTGAAATCCTTGCCCCAGCTGGTGGTGTTCAGCCCAGTAATTGTGTACCCTGGCTGTACTAGTCGACTGGGCAGCTGACTGTGTTAAGCATTTCTGATCTATTGATTGCAACACTGGGGGTGTTACAGATGGATATACAAGTGCTTTGGAGTGTAGGGAACATTGGTCCAGATTCTGTTCTAAAGACACATTAGACATGGACAAAATCTCTAGGCAAGAGGACCCCTGCAATGGCTCTGATGAAGGGGGACAGATCAGGGTGTTCTCACCCGCCAGCAACTGCTGAATCTCCAGAGCCATAGAATTGCAGATTTGGCAGCAGGTATCTGCACACAGGAGCCGTCGCACACTTCCCTCCTGAGGAAGCCAGCCCTGGCTGGGAAGGGAAGATGGCAACCATTACTGATGGGTTGACACCTGCCTCTTTGAATGTGTGTGGCTTGGAGATTGCCCTCCCCTAGTCCTGGAAACGTTGGGGCTTGTACCCCCAGGGTATTTACCCATCTCCTCTTCCTCCAAGGAAAATGCCATTGGCAAGTTATGTTGGGCTGGGCTGAGGGCCTGGACCTTGTTGGGCAAGGTCTCAGACAGCCCATGGGAGCACAGGGCCATGACAGACTGGGAGGTGGGGTGAGTTCTCTGTTTACCTGTGTTGAGAAGCTGAACTAGGAGAAGGGAACCAGGGTGTAGGGTGGGAGCAGGGGAACCAATGTTTAGCTGATGTGGCAGCATGAAGAACATGACCAGGAGAATCTGGAGTCAGTCTCCTTTGGGGTTAAGAAGGCCACAGCCTATATGCAGTATTTCTAAACTGTGAAAAATGAGGTCTTTGTGGGAACTCTGAATTCAGAGACCATGGGGTGTCCCAGCTCCTGTTCATAGCATCCCTTCAGAGCCAGTCCCATTCTCTAGAGACTTTAAGAAGAGGATAAGATGACAGGCTCTTTCCTGAGGGCTGTCCCAGGAACTGGCCTCCCCTAAGACAAAACCATGGAGGTAATGTCAACAGGTTCCACAGGTCTGCCCTTGAATGATTGTAACTGTAAAGGGAATATGACAATGGAATTTAGTTATGCACATATTTGTCTATTCTCTTGACTGGATAACTTGTCTTGTGGCTGAGTGCAAACTCATGTAGAGTCTTTAATGAATTACATACTAGTGAAATCCTGAATTCCAGGACCACTGTGAACTGAGCCCATAGCAGAACTGGGAGACTCCTCTCTCCTGAGACACCTGGTCCCCCTCTGCCCTGGCAACCCTCTCAACTGTGCTCAGTGTCCACTTGTGTCTTACTCCCACCCAGCCATTATCCCTCTCCTCATCCCTTCCCCAGGCCAAGCACAGAAATGATGACGGGCCAGGCTGGAGTTTGGAGACTGCAAAGAGCAAGTGGTCACCTTTTCATGACAGAGAGCAGCTCCCATGGCTTCTCAGCTTCTTCCCGGGAAAGTCTCCTAGCTGAGAAACCAGGAGAGAGTGTTACAAGGAATGAGAGGATACAGGGGCGTCCTATGGGAAGTTGAAGGGATGTCCTATAGGAAGTTGAAGGGATGTCCTATAGGAAGTTGAAGGCCTTTGAGTAAGAGGAGATTTGAAAACCCAACAGTAAATGCTCTCAGGCATGTCTGTGTGCAACTTAACCAGTTGTATCATGCTGTCCTGGACCTAATCTCATTTTATCATCAAAACCACACTGTGAGTGAGGCAAGATCATCAGATGCCCATTTCATGGATCACAGAGTGATCGATGAAGTGACTTCCGTAGGATTGTAAAACTAGTAAATGACACAGGAAAGGGCTTCTGTTCTAATTCCTCATTCATCATTCCCAGGAGCTGGGGTAAGGTGAATTTTGGAACATTCCCAGCCTCTGATATCCCAAGAAAATCTGGAAGAATTCGTCAGCTGGGGCAAATGGACCCTTCAGTGGTTAGAGAACCTGGCTCCTGGCACCAAGAGTCATAGAGAGACACACATCAAGGGAATTTTGCCCATGGTGAGGGGAGTCAGAACAGAGTTGGAACCTTACCTCTAAATGCTGCATCTCTTATCCTGACTCTTCGGTGACGCTTAAAGAGAAAATGTTAAGAGTATGAAGATGGGACACTTTTTTTTGGTCATCTTTAAAATAAGACAAAGCTGGGGCACCTGGGTGACTCAGTCAGTTAAGCATCCAACTATAGCTCAGGTCATGATCTCACAGTATGTGGGTTCGAGCCCTGCATTGGGCTCTGTGCTGACATCTCAGCCTAGAGCCTACTTCAGATTTCTGTGTTTCCCTCTCTCTCTACCCCTTCCCCACTCATGCTCTGTGTCTCTCTTTCAAAAATAAAATAAACATTAAAAATTTTTTAAAAAACAAAATAAGACAAAGCTAATATACATTTCCCAATCCCTTTCTATGTATGTCTATATTTTATTGACTTTTCTAACTTCCCTTTCCATACTCATTTCACCTCAACATTTCTCTTCTCTGCTTGCTTCTTATTTATTTTGAGGATTTTCCATACTCGATACCTCTCATTTATTTCCCAAGTTATGCATGAGGTTTATGATGAAGCAAGAGAAAGAGTGGGACAGATTAAAGAGTGTGTAGGTATAATAGCCAACAGATTTGTGTTAAAAAATGCCTATACAGACTACCAACCAGAAAAATCCCACTTTTTGGGAGGTAGTCTGAGATCCAGGGATTTAGAATCCATTTCATCTAGGTCTCAACCCAAGCCACATTGAGAGGTGTTTAATTTCAACTAGACTACACTGGAGGATGGTCTGGTAATGAATTATTTTTAGTCTCTGAGAAGTACCACATGAGAGTTACTGAATGCATGGTATGAAAATTGGGGGTGGGGGTGGTAAAAGGAGAGACTCTGAGATCTTAAAAGCTTATCTGAGGCTTATTAGTTTAATCATGGTCATAACGTTTCCCTACCGGGCAGCAGCTCCTTTGAGGTTCCAGCCTTAATCCGTGGTAACTCCTTTTTACTTGCCAGATAATTAGGAGAATGATGAAGATGAAGACATAGACATATAAGGTATACTCGAAATCCCACAGAACAAAAGTACTTCTCAACATGGTCTAAACCTCATTAGCATGAGGAGACCAACCATCCCTATATCTAGGCATTCAGAGTCCTGGTGCCTGATGACTCCTAATGCTATGCCTTGTCATCTCCACCTCATAGATGATGGAACTAGGCCACCAGACTGCATCACAAAGACCTTCTGTTTCACAAGGCACATGCAGTGTCAAAGACTTAGGGAAGCGTATATGGTGATTTAGTCTGTAGATGAGGGAGTCCGGTTGTCTGTAATGGTTACAGAGCCTGGGACTAAAAGTGTCATCTCATAGACAGTGTCTATGCCTCCACTTTGTCCTCAGTCTGCACACCCTACACCAGCCTGATGTCTTGACTCTGTCGTTTACAACTATCTGGTCACCTGTCCCACAACTGAATTTCTGAGTGTTTAGGGATATAGTGCACCTTTTGAGGAAGAGTGGCTGGGACAGAGGAATCTCCACTAACTCCCCTCCCTGTACTGGAAATATAGCTGAGAAGCACACATGAGCTTAGGGAGGGCAGAGTCTGGTTATGGCTTGGGAATGGAGAACTTTGATATTAACAGGCATTGGGTGATGGGGAATCAGAAGTATATGAAGGGGACCATGGCTTATAGGAGGAAAAGGGCAAGGTGACATCTTTCAATGAGATTGTAGGAGGCAGGAAGGAATGCTTCCCAGTCTGTGTGGCCTCAAGCTTACAGATAGGTGGGAAGAGATATAAACACTGCCTTCCATGGAGATATACTAATGAGATTCACTTATTGAGCTCCTTAAAACTTGGTTTTCTAGAGCTGTTTTTAGAATTCTGTCTCCTCATGGATATGACTACCTGTAGAGAGGGGTTAGTTAGTGGCTACTTCTGACTTAAGGTGATAAACTAGTTGCTGATCATGATTAAATCTATTCATCTACTCTGGATATATGTTGTTTGCCTGAAGGAAGCTTGTTTTTGTTTGTTATTATTTTATTTAACCTGAAGTTTGAAACCTTTATCAGGCCAGTAGTTTTCTAATTCATTCCCAGGGCCCAACACTTCTCTTCTCTTCCCATTTATTTATACATTTATGCTACCTGCTTGACCTCTGTGGTTATTGGCATATTTCCCCAACAACTGAATTTCTGAATTTCCTTCAGAATCTTACCCTGGTAACAGCAGTCTCACAGCCAAAAAACCCCTGTGCTCAAAATCTCTGAAGAAGCTATTTTGGTCCCTCCTCCAACATCCAGTCCTCCACCCTGCTGGCATGGTGAGCCTTTAGTTTGTGTTCATCCCTAAGATGGGCAGTGTCAAAAGTACAAAGACATTTGAGTCATTGTTGCCTTCTTGCTCTCCAGACACTTAACTGTCTGGTTTCCAAGATAAGACTAATTCACAAAAACAGGAGCAATAATCTAGAACAATCAGAACTATACACTCATTTGCAAAGCCTAGGTTATAAACATCCCATTTCAGAGGAGAGAAACCATAGTGATGATCAGGGTGGTCAGAGAGGGCTCCTGGGTAAAGTGACATAGGAGTTGGGTCTAAAAGTGCAGGCTGTGGGGGAAGGAGCATGTTGCAGATGGGAGAGAAACTTATAAACGCAGAACACAGAGCAATGGGCTATGGAATGCATTTGGCGGTAAGAAATGCAGTCTATCTCTAGCAGAGGTGTAGATGGGTGGATGGGAGAGGACCTGTGGTGAAAGATTAGAGTAGCAGGGATGAGGTCTCTTGCTGGAGGACCAGTGCATGTAAGTGATTTTAATCACTGAAATTGTATTTTAAAAAGTATACACACACACACACACACACACACACACACACACACACACACACACAGTACAATATTCAGTGGACAGAATAAGGTATATAGTAAATATGTCTTTGCTCACACTTGTCTCTCATTCTCCAGTTTTCCTTCTCAAGCCAGTTATTCCTATCAGATTTCTGTGTATCTTTCCAAACTAGTCTAACATAGCCAAAAACAAATGAATTATGTTTTTCTTCACAAATGGAAGTGTAGTATGAACAGTTTCCCCTTTTATTTGATTTATTTTTTTTCAATATATGAAATTTATTGTCAAATTGGTTTCCATACAACACCCAGTGCTCATCCCAAAAGGTGCCCTTTTATTTCATTTAATAATATACATAATCTTATAATACCATTATGTTAATGACTGTAATGTCTTCCTTGATATGACTATAACACAACTCATCTTCAATTCTGTATTAATGGATATATAGTTATTCACAGTCTTTTGTTCTGAATAATAATGTTGACACAAACCTCATATATATTTATAAATCTATGTACACATGTAGGAAAAATTCCTGTGAGTGAATTGATATGTTAACAATATTAAGTCTTCTGATCCATGGATATGGTACATCTTTCCATTTATTTAGGGTAGCTTTAATTTCTCTCAAAAGTGTTTTATACTATTTCGTACAAGTCTTGCACATATTTTGTGCATTTATCCCTATTTCACATTTTATGATGCTATTATAAGTGATATTGCTTTTTAATTTTAATTTCTAATTTTTATTGTTAGTATGTAGAAATAGAGTTTGTTTGGATATCTTTGTTATATCCTGAAATCTTGTTAAATTCACATATTAGTTGTAATAGTTTTTTTCAGTAAATTCTTTAGTATTTTCCAGAATGATGATAATGTTGTCTGACAAATTTATATCTTCTTTTCCAATTTGAATGCCATTTATTTCTCTTTTTTACCTTATTGCACTGATTAGAAAATTTACTATAATGTTGAATAGAAGTGGTGAGAGTAGACATTTTTGCCTGAACTTTGAACTGAACTTAGGGGGGAGGCATTATTTTTCCATTCTGCTCCTCAGACTTGATAATTTCAAATGTACTATCTTTATGTCTGCTGATTTTTTCTTCTGCCTGCCCAAATCTGCCATTAAATTCCTCTAGTGAACCTTTCCATTTACTTACTGTATTTTTCAGGTTCAGATTTTCTTTTTTTTTTTTTTTTTTAATAATTTCTATCTTGGGGCACCTAGGTGGCTTATTCAGTTAAGCATCCAACTTCGGGTAAGGTCATGATCTCATGGTTCATGAGTTTGAGCCCCATGTCAGGCTCTGTGCTGACAGCTTAGAGTCTGGAGCCTGTTTTGAATTCCTTGTCTCCATCTCTCTCTCTCTCCCTCCCATGCTCATGTTCTGTCTCTCTCAAAAGTAAATAATCATTAAAAATTTTTTAAAAAGTGATTTCTGTCTCTTTGTTGATATTCTCATTTGCTCATTTCTGATTTCCTGTAGTTCTTCATCTGTGTTTTCCTTTAGTTCTTTGAGCATATATAAGATAGTTGTTTTACCAGACCACTTTCTTACACTATACACAAAAATAAATTCAAAATGGATGAAAGACCTAAATGTGAGACAAGAAACCATCAAAATCTAGAGGAGAACACAGGGAGCAACCTCTTTGACCTTGGCTTGAGCAACTTCTTACCTCGCTGAAGGCAAGGGAAACAAAAGCAAACATGAACTATTGGGACTTCATCAAGACAAAAGTTTCTGCACAACAAAGGAAACAATCAACAAAACTAAAAGGCAGCCTGTGGAATAGGAGTAGGTATTTGCAAACAACATATCTGATAAAGGGTTAGTATCTAAAATCTATAAAGAACCTATCAAACTCAACACCCCAAAATCAAACAGACCAGTTAAGAAATGGGCAGGCGTACCTGTGTGGCTCAGTTGGTTAAGTGTCCAACTTTGGCTCAGGTCATGCATGATCTCACAGCTCGTGAGTTCAAGACCTGATTGGGTTCTGTGCTGACAGCTCAGAGCCTGGAGCCTGCTTTGAATTCTGTGTCTCCATCTCTCTCTTTGCCCCTCCCCTGCTCCTGCTCGCTCTCTCGCTCTCTCAAAAATAAATAAGCATTAAATTTTTTTAAAAAAAGAAATTGGCAAAAAACATGAATAGACACTTTTTTCCAAAGAAGACATCCAGATGGCTAACAGACATATTAAAAGATGCTCAACGAGAGAAAGAGAGCGCGTGCACACACACACATACACAAAGCAGGGGGGAGGGGAAGAGAGAGGGAGAGACAGAATCCCAAGTAGGCTCTGTACCTTCAGTGCAGAGCCTGATGCAGGGCTCAAACTCGCAAACCTTGAGATCAGGACCTGAACTGAGATCAAGAGTCTAATGCTTAACTGACTGAGCCACCCAAGCATCCCCTTAATATTTCTAAGTTGAAATATTTTAGCCTTTGGGGCCATACAGTCTCCCAAAACTACTCAATTATGCTGATGTGGCCAGAAAACAGCCCAACACTAGATAAACAAATGGGGTTGGTTGTTTCAATAAAACTTTGTTTACAAACACAGGTAGCCAGCCCATAGGCCATGGTTTGCCAACCCCATTAAATGTTGTGTGCTTCAGTAGTTTGTTTCTCCTCACTGCTGAGTAGGATGCCATGGTAGGAATGTGCCAGTTTATTTATCATTTGCCAGCTGATGATCACCAGGGATGCTTCTAGTTTCTAACTATCGTGAATAAAACCTCTAAGAACACTCTTGTACAAAAAAAAAAAGATGCTCAACATCACTCATCATCAGAGAAATATAAATAAAAAACACATTGAGATACCACCTCATACTTGTCAGAATGGCTAAAGTTAACAACACAAGAAACAACAGGTGTTGGCAAGGATGTGGAGAAAGGGGAACCCTCTTGTATGGCTGGTGGGAATGCAAACTGGCACAGACACTCTGGAGAACAGTATTGAGGTTCCTCAAAAAAACAAAAATAGAACTACCCTATGATCCAGCAATTGTACTATTAGGTATTTACCCAACAGATACAAAAATATATATTTGAAGGGGTCCATGCACCCCAATGTTTACAGCAGCATTATCAATGATAGCCAAAGTATGGAAAGAGCCCAAATGTCTGTTGACTGATGACTGGATAAAGAATATGTGGTATTGGGGCGCCTGGGTAGCTCAGTCGGTTAAGCGTCCAACTTCAGCTCAGGTCGTGATCTT